CAATTTGATCTACCAAACCGCTGTATGGTGGCAACTTTCGGTACCCCCCCCCCCTTAATTCACCCCCAGCGTAAGGAAAGGTGTGCCGTGAAATGAGCGTACCCGGAGGCGGCCTACCCGAACGAGTCGACGCGAAGGAACCCAACGGAACGTTTCCGCGCGCCGTAGCGCCATAAGCCGCTTGTCCAGAGCGAAAACAGAAGAAGAAAGGAAGAAGTTGCTTCTTCTGTTTTCGTTCTGGACAAACGGTTAGTAGCGCTGAAGGCAGGCGCAGGGCGGGCCGCCGGCTCCACGCGCTCGTTTGGCGGGTTGGCCTACCCAGCGCGTGGCAGGCGCTTTCGGTAGCTGAGCGAGCTGATGTGAGCCGTGGAGCCTGCCGAGCCCGCTAGCCTGCTGCCCGTTGGTACTTCCTCCAGCATGGCCGAGCATGTCACATCGCTTGTGAGAACTCTTTTCCATGTCCCGGCAAAGCCGATTAGCGTTCAACGTATCGACCGACACGGCCGACGCGTGGAACGGTGCCTCAGGGGAAGACCATGGTTGGGCATTATGGAAGCAAGTAAGTAACATACACCCCCCTCCTCTCCCTCCACCTACCTTTGTGAAGAACGCGAACCGGGTGACCTCCGAGGGGAAGTTCTCCGAAAGGCCGAGCACCTCTTCGCGCTTGTCGCCTGCGAAGCAGATGACAGTGGACTCGGGGGGCGGCGGCGGAGGCGGCGTAGGCGGGTGGTAGAGGGGCTCTGCCACGTCCTCGAACAGGGCCTTGACGGCCGCGGCCTTGGAGATGACGGTGAGGGGCGTCCAAACGCCGGGCAGGACGGGGCTCTTCTCGTCGGTGCGGAACAGCAGGCGGGCTGCGGCGCTGTCCACCGCGGGCAGGAGCTCGCGGGGGTTCCAAACGCGGACTGGCTCCTGGGGGACGACGAGACCGTCCTCGTCGTCGTCCTCATCCCGCGCCTCCGGTAGTGGGGCAGTCTCTTCGGCTACCTCCCCACCGGCGCCATCGTCCATCCCTTCGTCCTCGCCGTCGTCCTCCCCCCGCTCTTCCTCGTCCTCCTCTTCCTGATCCTCTTCTTCCTGCCCCAGCCCTTCGTCCTCCTCTTCTTCTTGCTCTTGGTCCTCTTTTTCTTGATCTACCTCACCTTCTTCACCTTCACCCGTCTCTTCCTCTTTATCAGATTCTTCTTCCTGTTTCTCTTCGACGCCCTCATCGTCCTCGAGGAGTTCCTCCAACAAGGAAGGCTCTTCGGCCGGGGTCTCACCCTCATCCTCGACGGGCGTGATGAGCTCCATGGAGGACCCGGTGCCGGGTAGGAAGCCGTAGATGGACTTGGCGATGATATGCTCTGCTTCCAGCCCGGCGCCAAGCGCGTCGTCTTCCTCGGCCTCTTCCTCGCCCGGAGATTCCCCCTCGCGCTCCAGCATAAGCACGAGGGACATGCCCTGGGTCACGGTGTCGAGCAGCACGTCGTGCTGCGGCAACCGCCGCTCCCAAAACATGAGGTCCACGGCCTCGCGGTTGAGTTCCATCTGGGGACGGAAAAGCAGGTCAGCAGCGAAGGGCTAGAGATGGCTGACAAGTACACGAACCTCCACTCGCACCTGTTCCTCGCGCTTCACGGCAAAGCCCTGCTCGGCCCAGGTGTCGCGCAAGGCGGTCAGGATCTCCTCGCAGGCGTCAGACTGCAGCGCGTAGGGGAAGATGACGACCACGGTGGTGCCGGCCAGGTTGCCAGCTATCTCGTCCAGGATACGGCGCAGTATCCTGTCGGCCTCCATCTTGGCCCGGTCCCGCTCGTCTCGCAGCCGTGCACCCTCCGAGCCCATGGTCAGTTCCTCGTACTCCACTTCAGCCGGTGAGAGCTTCGTCAGGGAGACTGTCTTTCTCTTCTCCAGCCCCTGGGCCGCGCGCTTCTCCCTTCGGACGAAACCATGACGGCAGGGTCAAGCACTCAAGACAAACGTTAGAACCGGCACTAACCGAACTTCCCCGAACCTCTCTATCTCCTGCGTGATGATTCGTATGACCTCTGGAGCGTTGCAACCGAATATGACGTTGACGAGCCTAGCACCGGAGAGCAGGACGAAGGTGGGCTTGGACCCGTGCAAGCGCTGCAGATCGGGCACAATGCTGGACGGAGCCGAGGCCAGGTGCATCCATTCGAAGGCCATTTCCGAGGTCTGTGGGGTCCCGATAAACGAGTGAGGCGAGAGCACTAATTGATACATACCTAACAATTCCTATCCGAAGTAGCAAACTCAAGCAAACTGCATAGTGTGTCCAATCTAAAACACACATTTTCTGCACGTTTTAGATGGAACACAAAATGCAGTCTTGATGCAGCTCTGCTACCTGGACACAGACTTCAATTGGGAAGTAATTAATGAAGGATTTCTTTCAAATTTAATTCAAAGGCATCACCTTAAGTTGTTTTAAGGGTGTCATCATGGCTACACATGGACCAGCCCAGTCCCGATACAAGTCCACTACAATTAATCCAGGTCGCTGTATGAAATCCCTCCATTCTTTTTCTGTAGTTAACTCAAAAGTTATTTGGATCTTCTTGCTTGCCATGTTTGAACAACACAGTAAATAACCTGTAAAGTTTCATCCCTACTATAGTAATTATGGAAATTCAAGACTGACAAAAATATTGGATAACTATCAATCACCTCACTCTACAAAACAGAGTACTAAAAAATGTTTTTTGATATTTTTTTGCATTTTTTTTCTTTGTTTTTGGTTTCTTGGGAAGGCTTGCTTCCCATTTTAGTTAAAAGCTTACATGTTGTTTTCAGTGCAACAATGTTGCACTTGAACAGTGTAAGTTGCCTAGCTACACAACAAGTGCCATTCTTCTTGTTTTTCAACTTTGGAGACAAAATATCATCCTCACACTTAAAACAACAAATTTAAGAAAATTTAACAATAACCGAAAGAATGAGAAGAAACAAACTAAAAGCTTTCCATTTATTTTATTAAATTGGTAACATCACCTTAAAACTCAACTCTACATTATCACACAACATTCTGCTATCATGTAACATGAAAAAATAGCAGATTAACCAAAATTGAGGATTTCTTATGGAAGGTCAGGGTAGGAGTCACATTAATTAATAACTACCCGTTCAAAACAGCCACATAAAAATTTAAACTATGTGATAACTCATCAACAAGTTTGAAGATGTCAACAGCCACATTTTAACCACATTCATCCAAAAATATAAGATACAACAAGTTAGATTTCATTGGTGACGAGTCAATCTAAGACTCGGGATCAATGCCCAAAAAGCATTAGATTGAAATTTCACCTACATTATTTGATGGGCACAAAGGATTGGAATTGTTTAAAAATTCAACAAATATATCCTCCTCACGCAGCAAATAATATGTTAACAGTAATGTCAATTTACAGTTCAATTAAAATACATCATTCAACACAATTCTTGTTGAAGAAACAAAAGTGGTTGACTAACTGGAAAATAACGCAATAAGAAAACCACAGTAAAGTTCATTTGTAGTTACATACAAAAAAAGCAGAACAAGATTCCATATATGTAACTTACTCCCTTATCGGAGGTTTATACAGAAGATATTGCGTGCAGTAAAATAAGTAACAGATTATCAGTCAAAATGCAGTGGATGCTACATGATTCAAAGGCACAGTTAGGAATAACCAGATGAAAAAAATTACAATTATATCACTGGCAGCATGACTAATAAAGGAAATTAAGTATACAAGCTGGAGGCACATGACTATAGCAACCTGTCTCTAATACTTTGTAACTACTCTACCTTCACTGCAAACATCAGTTCAACTGGAATGACTATATCATGGCTCACCACGCAGTAAATGAAATAAGAGGAGAAACACCTACAGCCGCACATTTGGTTTCATAGGTAAGTAGATAAAATCTCCAATTACAAAGTGATGTAAAGGCACAATACATACACTACAATTGATTTCATGCAAAATCTTGGCACAAAGAAAACACAATGGAACATAACAAACCAAGCAGGTTTGCAAATAAATTGCTGCACAATAAAAATAAAATATTGATTAAAAACCCCAATGATAAGAGCAATACAAAATATGACTAAGTATTAACAGATCATTAAAGGAATTGTGCAAGTATCAACTTAAAGCTTTGATTCTAATTAAAATCTTGATCAAATCCTTTACAGAAATAACAAAAGAAAACATTAAAGAATGAAGTATACAGGAATATGAGCTGAAATGAGAAAGAAATGATTTCATAGCTGAAGGTACTGCATTGGAACTGTTCTAGGCATGCTGTTTTCAATTTCATGACGTTCCTCCTCTTGTGCCTGTACTTTGGAGAGCTGCATAAGAGCAAGAGCACCCATAAGTTTCTTATCTTCTGTCTTTCCAGGCAGTACAGTGGGAGTTACATTTGTGTCGCGGCCAGCTAACATCAGCACTGTTGGCCTACCAAGGTTTGCTAAATCAGGCTGCATTACCTTGCAGCTTTGGCTTAGAGGTTCTGCAGAGGCTGCTGGAGACGGTTCTTCAATGTTGTCCCACTTCAGAGGTCTTGCAAGTTCCTGAAAATGAAAGAAAACAAGACCAAGGTAACATTAGTTAGCCCCTCCTACCTTAGCTATCAAGAGATCCATAGTGTGGGACACCAACCTGCTTGTCTGCATCCTCCCACAAACTAAGTTCTTGGCAGGCTGCACGAAGCCAGCGCTTCTTTGGTTGCTGGAGGCGGGACGAGATGGGTGATGACTGTTGAGTGTTATTATTTCTAGTGCTAAATACTTCGCTTGTCTTGCGAGCAGAATCAACCTCCACTGAGCTATCAAGATAATCACAGTAATCAGTGTCTGAACCAGGGGAAAACGTAGACCATGTTCCACACTGTAAAACAATGAAAATGTTAGGACAATATGGAAGATGAATTCATATGAGTTAAATACATGTGGAGTTAAAAGTACCTGAGGAGTGCTTGTGGTTGTTCCATTGGCCAGATTTTTGTTAGGAGTATGGGGAGCAAAAGGTACATTTTGAGGAAATGTAAGCCTATTTTCTTGTTGTTCAATTTCGGCCATGAGCCCTTTGCGAGCTCGAGACTTTGATCCAGGGGCTACATCTCCACTGTCAGGAACAGCTTTGCTAGGAGAATTATTGCTATTACATCTCTTCCGCGATTTTCCATTTGAGTTCTCATTTACTTTACAGGGTGTCCGTTCATCCCTATCTTTACAATACCTAAAAATTTTAAAGAAAAAAATATGAAATTGGGAATAAAACAAAAAAAGAAAGTTACATATGGACACAACTGCCTTTGGGATAAATACCTCTCAAACCAAAGCATAACATCAGAGGCTTGATCTGCATTAGCAACCTTCGGTCTTAAAACATAATCATCACATCTTGCTAAAGTTGCATAAGGGTGTGCAGAACAGTGACGGTTGGCATGGGCAAATCGTTTCAAACATCTATAAGGAATAAGCAAATAGATAAAACTTGGAGCTGTATATTCCTGCTAGTCTTAATAACAATTTGAGCTCCACTTACCCTGGTCCAGAGCACTTAAAAGGCTTTTCTCCAGTGTGAAGTCTTTGATGAGTCTTTAACTGACCACTTTGAGAGAAAGCTTTGGTGCAACCTGGATAGTCACACACATATGGACGTTCACCTGCAAATAATATAAATGACATGGATTTTTAAAATCTGAAGACATAACATTTCAATCACTTCACAAACGTACAAGAGTCAGCGGCCAGGTCAACAAAGAATAAAAATGCGTAAAATGTGAAAATTGGGACACAAAGTTGTGCAACTGGGTACGGAAATAATAAGACAAAACCCAGCAGACTAACAACGATAATTTAAAAATTGCTTCAAAAATAAAAAAGGGGGGGCAAACTTTATGATTTCTGCTGAGAATA